ATTGTTAAGGAATTGAATCTATGGATTTGATTGAAATTGATGAACTTGATTGTGATGCAAGTGACTAAATTGATGTAATGTGATGCTAAGACCATGGTTGGGCAGTCCGTAAGGACGTCCCAAAATAGATTATTGATATTACAATTCTAGGCATAGTGAGTGCTTAGGAATTGGGGTCTATGCCAATGTAAGGAGATGTACTTGAGCCGTGCTCATAGAATTGCATTGGGTAGACATGATGAGGTGATTGTAGTGCGTAGGAATTGGGGTCTATGCCAATGTAAGGAGATGTACTTGAGCCGTGCTCATAGAATTGCATTGGGTAGACATGATGAGGTGATTGTAGTGCTTAGGAATTGGGGTCTATGCCAATGTAAGGAGATGTACTTGAGCCGTGCTCATAGAATTGCATTGGGTAGACATGATGAGATGATTGTTGTGCATGGTGATGTAGTCGAGTTGGACTCGAGAATGCAAACATATGTGTTAGGGTTGAACCCTATGTATTGTTGTGACTAGGGGTCACGGGATTTTGGGGTATGTTTGATGAACAAACCTTGGGCCTATGGGCCGACTACTTGACTTTATATATAAAGTAAGTATATTTTTAAAAAGGGGTAACTTGGGGTTACGGCCTATATTATACTATCACCCTATTTGAGGGTCTTGTGTTTGAAATACTTGTTGTATATCTATTAGATGCCATCCACACCAGCACTTTATAGCCCTATAGAGTGCTGACCCCTTCGGGGGCGTCCCACCACCATTTTTCAGGTTGAGGCTAGAGCTTGCTTCCTGTGCTCGTTGCTCGAGAGATCATCTAGGAGCGAAGACTTGGTTCGTGCTTCCTCCATTCGGGTTTTAAACATTAATAAACATGCTCATGGATATTTTACTATAGAGCCTGCGTGCTCATGAATAGCCCGGTGTGGCCTTTTGTTTTAAACAATGTTTTCCGCTGCGTTATGAATTACTTATTATGTTTTGTTTATGGATGTATATGTGTGAATGATATTCAAGACGCCTTGTATATTATGAATGTGTTGAACTGCGGTTGACTATTCATATTGTACGGCGGGTTGTTGACGTGTCCGGATAGGTCCGGGGCGTGACAAGACCCAATCTGCATACGGGCTCAATCACAGTGCAAATCAGTATAGGGACATCATTCGGGCCACCCCGCGCGGGTAGTGCTACTAGGCCCAATTCCCTCACTTCAGTTTCTCCACTCGAACAAGTAGCCATCCAAGGCAGAGCTCCCTCATTTCAGGGTTGAGCACATTACCCCCATTAACTACTACCTTTTAGTATAAATAACAACATTTATTTCATTGTAAATGATTGACAAACTTGTATTCTTAACAATCGACTTATCTCTAGTTCTTCTGTAGCATTCAACATTGCGGCCGGGCTCGGCATAGTGTTGTATCGTTTTAAGGACTTTAATAGAATTGGATCCACTTCTATCTCTTACTTACTTGCTTGTACTTTTGCCTCTTTCTTGCGTGAAACATTAACTTAAAGTCCTTAAAGTCAACTAAAAAGGACTTCTACGAAAGCCCAAGGGACTGTGTTGGGTCTTTCGAACTCTAAGACTTAACTCTAGACCTAATGATTATGAGTCTAGTACCATTACATTGCTTCCAAGATATTCAACAGCTTATGACGGACTTTGGGATTAAAATTTCACATTGCTTCCACGAATCAAATCGAGCAGCTCATCTTCTCGCTCAGCTTGGAAAGAAATGTACAAACACACAGGTCGTTGCTCATGCCTCTTTGTTGCCTTCTGATATTAAAGGTGTGGTCCTTACGGAACACATCCCATATTTGAGATTTTAAGTCACGGATTGATTGTTTTTTTACTTTAGTGGGCTTTGGTTTATGTCCTCCCACTAAAGTTTCTATTTTTGGACTTTCTCTTTTCTACTTTCCCGAGAGATTTTGGTTTGGTCCCCCTCTCATTTGGAGACCGTATATGCTACACCCGGTTGTATGTACATCCGTGGTCCAAATTAAAATAAGTCCATTAACAGATCAAGCCCACAACACAGCTGGCCCAATGTTTTACCGGGTAACATCAATAACCAAAAACAAAGGCTGCGATTTAAACATATCAAAAACGGAAAAGTAACTTCTCTCAAAAACTGAACTCTCTTCTGAAATTTGTTCGAAAACGACGCAAGCATTCATAGACGCCGCATTAAAGCTCGAAAAACGAGGACAACCTCCAGACGTTTATCAACTTTGTGGAGTTCTTCGTAGAGTTGAAGAGCAACAACAAGTTGAAGAACAGAGGAAGACTTTGAGCAGCAAGTTGTTTCTGTTTGAGCATTGAAGCGAGCGATGGACTTAGTCTCCGAGTATGAGATGATGAAGAACGCAGATAAGCCTGAAACTGCAGAAGTTTCAGAGAGGTATGTAAAATTATACTGTTGAAATTTCTATTGTAGTAATGATTCATCAATATGCTTGCATGGTTCGAAAATTATAGAAAAATTGAAATGATTTTGACAAATCTGAAGTAGATTATGATATTGATGCATTATATATGTTTATTAAGTATATCAATTGAGGTTTTGTTCAATGTACGAAGGTTTTTGCTCATTTTACTTTACTTTAAGTGATATACATTACTAACTAGTTAGAACACGGTGATACTGTAATTAGGTTACTTGTAAAATGATAAAATACTCAATCTCTAGTATACAGTACTCATCTATGAATGGAGTGGTTTGTGTTTAAAATTTTCTATACTTATTGAATAATATGCTTATGATGCATATGTGCTTATGCTTATTAGTCATAATGCGCCATTAAAATTGAACTCATACTCATTATTTGATCACTGTTTCAAATGAACAAATAGACTTTGTGTCATGAATAATGTGTCATGAAGTGCTGTAGATTTTTTGTTTCACAATATACTTGTTCTGTAATTCGTTTGCATGGACATTGTGTGTGTGCTCATAATGTGAGTGTAAGATGCTCAAATTGTAAAACAATGTGTCACAATTTTATAGTACTGAAAACTGGTGATAATATGTTAGTTATTGATAATGTTAATTTAAAAGTGAACTGATACTCATAAGTTGATCAGTACTTTCAAATGACCATATGGTGTTATGTTTAAAAAAAAAACAATGAAAATTTTGTCTTAGAATATGCTTGTTATAAACTACATTTACATATAAATTGTTTGTATAGAATATGCTGTTATTGAATAGAATTCCAAAATAATATTTTGTATGCTCATGATTTGATATGTATTGCTCATATTAATTAATAAGGTATATTGTACTTGTTAAGTATGGAAATGATTTGCGAATCATGATTTGATATGTATTACTCATTTTAATTAATAATGTAGGATTTTAGATCCACGACCTATAAGTGAGATCCCAGTGCTGCGCTCAAATCCAAAAAAGAGGGTAAAAAAGACTTCCAAGGTTCCACAGAAGAAGATGAAACCAAAAGCAATTCCAAAAAAGGAAAAGGCTAATATGGACTTAATAAAACAAATTGAAGCTGAGATAAAGATGAGTGATGAAGAAACAAGGGATGCAGAAACAAGTAAGGCTAGCAGTAAGATCATCGAGCATGTTAGAGAAGAATCTGAGCACCAAGGGAGAGAAGCTGAGCACCAAGAGAGGGAAACTGAGGAGCATCAGAATGTTGAAGAAACAATCAAAGGTAGCAGTAAGATGATTGAGAATGTTGGGGAAGAATCTAAGCACCGAGGGAGGGAAACTGAGCAGCAAGGGACTGAAACTGAGCAACATGATAATGTTGAAGAAACAAGGAATGATAGCAGTAAGACAAGTGAGAAGGTTGGAGAAGAATCTGAGCAACAAGGAAGGGAAAATGAGCAACAAGGTATGGAAACTGAACAACATCAGATTGTTGTAGAAGCACAACAAGGCGCTGCACAGAGAAATAATAAGAAGAAAAGAAAGAGAAATAATGCAGGCACAATTAAGAAAAGTACATAGCAAGGAAATTCAAGCAAAGAGAAATAGGGCGAGGAAGTTAGTCCAAAAAGAAAAATTACAAGATCAACAACCTCAGAAACAACTGAAAAGAAAAAAGATGAAGTTCAGAAAAAGAAGAAAGAAGTTCATGCAAAGAAGAAAATAACAAGGCAAACAGAGTCAATAAAAGAGAAGAAGCAAAAGATAAAGAAGAAGAAAGCAGAAGAAGACGAAGAATTTGAGGAGGATGGAGAGGAGAAAGAGAAGGAAGAGAACGCAAAATACCCAAAGCTGTGGACAAGAATGTCTCCGAGTAGTATAACAGAAATAATGAAAAATCTAAGTGCAGAACAGAAGAAAGAGGTGGTTGAGATGGGATTTGGCGCCTTACTGAACCTTGAAGTGAAGCAATTGCCAATGCAGTTGGCATATTGGTTGGTGGAGAATTTTGATAGCAGAAGTGTGTCTCTTCTTCTGCCGAACAATGAGAGATTGAGGATTAATGAAGATGCAGTGCACGTGACATTGGGGTTTCCAAAGGAAAGATTAATGTGAAGAATTTGATTAACACTGAATCTGAGAATACATCACACATGGTGGCTGATTGGAGATCGCATTTTGAGACTAAAAATGGAGTTGTGAAGACTGCTCAAGTGAAGAAGGTTATAGAAGAAAACAAAGCAGGTGGAGGATGGTTTAAAAAGAATTTTTTTGGTTCTCCTGGTAACGTTTTTGATTGAAGGGAAGCAAAATTGCTTTGCCAATCAAAGCATTCTGAAGGCATTGTAGGATGATTCAAAAATCAAGGATCTGAATTGGTGTGGATACACATTGGAAGCATTAATTGAAGCAAAGGACTATTGGAGCAAAAGCAGAGAAAGACAGTTCCCAAGGCCTTTATTATTTCTGATTGTAAGTTAGAAATTCTAAATGTTATTGCTGAATTTCTTCATAGTATTAATGAAATAATTATATTCAGTACAAAATTCTAACATCTTATAACATATGTAGGTTTTCTACGTGGACAACGTTGTGTTCAAAGGCAGAAAAGTTCAAAGAGCATCTCCATCTATAATTGGGTGGACAACACAAAATTTGAACAAAAGACAGAAGGAAGAGATTGAAACTGGAGGTTTTGGATACAGATATATAGATGAACCTAATAAAGCGGAATTCATAGTTCCAAAGCTGATCACAAATGAAAAAGAAGTTGCAATGCAGATTGAGGGAAACATCAATCAGGAGCCAAAGAATGTAAGTACAGTAGTATGTAATTTTAACAGAGAAATTTGGGTAAATATAAAAATGACAAATATGATATCTAGATATGAGCATTATATACAAACTAATGAGTACATGCAGCAACTTAAAAAAATAGGTAATAAATTTTATAAAAATAAAAATAAAAATTTTAAAGACTGAATAAATTAATCTAATAAAGGTGTATGATTAGTTCACAATTATTTTAATATAAACTCAACAATAAAATAAATAGTGCTCAATTACTATCCTAAAATTAATCATTAAATAACTGCAGGATATTATGATGGAGTTTGCTGCAGCTGCGAAGAATTTGGCAGAAAGCATGGCCAGTTTTGATGAAAAATTTCAACAGGCTGTAAAGGTGTTACCTGATGATGAGACGATGAAGATTTTAATGGGAAAAGTCCATGGGCTTTTCAACACATATTCATCAGAAAAGGAGAAAGAAAAAGAAAATGAAACCGAAGTGTCACTGACTCCAGATGATGGATTCTGGACTGAAGAAGTGCTCAAAGCAGTTGAAGTGACTCAGAAGAAAAGAGTTGAGAGGCCAACTTTTACTCAGTATGAAAATCCAAACTTCAAGTTGCTTTCACAGGAGTCAAATGATGGGGTGAATACTTATGGGGATGATGATGAGCATCATAATGACATAATTGAGCAAACATGGCAATGGAATTGAGCATGCAGAGGATGGTCCAAGTGAGCAAATGAATAAGGATAATGACAATGCTGAGGATGTTAATGAGGATGAAGAGGAATCTGAAAGGGAAGAATGTGAAGAAGAAAGAGACAGAAGGTCTAGAAAGGGTAAGCAAGTTGAACAATATCACATTGACCCAAAAGAGAACAAAGTGGAAAGAGAAAAAAGAGAAACAGCTCCAGCACCTGCTCTGAAGTCCCCATTCATGAACAATGCCATAGATGCAAGGACAACACTTGGCAGTGAGGAAAGACTACTTGCAGGTTTTGTGTTCAATGATCATTGTGACAAGAAGTAAGTACACAACAAGTTTTTCTCAATCATTTCGTTTAATAGTAATGCACATTTAATTTTAAAGTTTACTCGTTCTATCTAGTAATGCTTTTCAAACAATGTTTTGGTGTTCATGCATTACAACTTCACTCTTTCAAAAGCTCAAATGGAAACAATGAGGAGCAACACAAAAGTTTATGCTGGAATTATAGATATATGGGCAATGTTGCTTAATCATAATGAAAAGTTCAAAAGCCCTGAAGCTAAAAGCAGAATGATTTTCTCAACAAGACCATGTGTAAGAAGTACATATTCATTTAATTAGTATTACTAAAATGAAACTAATATATTATAATATTTAATGACAGCATGTGCTAGATCAAAATCATCTCACCGCCCCACAAACAAGGAACAAAAGGTTTGTGGCAGAAATTGGCAAGGAATTTCCCTGTGCAGATGGAAATAAGTTGAGGTCAACAGATCTATTCATATTCCCAGATGAATACAATGGGTGCTATTATATGATGTGCTTTCACTTGAAGAACATGAAGTTCTACATCATTGATAGTAGCGACGGAGATATAGCTCCTGCACTCAAGTACTTGTTTCAAATGTCATACCTGGTAAATGTTTTATATATTTCTTTTTATTTTATCACATATGGATAAATAATGTGATGAGTTAGTATATGAACAATGGGCACTTGATAATTGAGCAACCACATAGACAATATGTGCATGAACATTAAAATATGTATAAGTCTGTTTTTGAACTTTTTAACTACAGAGAAGTGGATTTGTGAAATTTCTCCGAGATAAAAAACACTCAAAGGCAGATAAGGTTGTGAAGCTGAAGGAAGAAGTGATTAAAATGCATTGGAGAAATAAGAAAAACAAAACCAATGAGGGGGTTTATTTGATGGGGCATATGGAGACATTTTATGGTGACATAGCATGGGAGTGTGGACCAGATAAAGAAAGTGTAAGTCCAAAGTGGTTTAATATAGTTTTCAAACATAATAATTATGTGAAAACTTGAATATCTAAATTATAATGTTTGTACAGGAAAAACCAATTGAGATGCTGAGGATTAAGTACTTGCATGCCATAGTCACATCTGATAAGAATGAGATCAAGAAGGACGTCATGGAACATGTGAAGAAACACAATGTGTATATCTAAAAGATGTGTAATGCTATTGATGATTCTGGGTGTTGATGAACATGTTGTTGTTTTTTAATTCATGTTAAACAATATTAGTATTTGGGACATATGATATTACTATTAAGCTTGGATGACAGTAGTCATGTTAGTAATATTAAATAAGGACAGATGCTTATGGGAAGTTCATATTATTGATCATTATTAGTATGTACTATGCTCATTTCTTTGCTTACTTATACACATTTTAAGGTATTAATGATAATTACTAGTAAGTACTATTCTCATTTCATTTATTACTTATACAAAATTTTAAGGAGTGAGCCCTTAAAGTTAAAATCTTTGAGTGTGAAAGTAAGTCAATGTATTCATTCATTAAATAAACAGTGCGGGGTGTTTTTTCCAATTATTAGTAATTTATTTATAATGGTATGAGTCTTCACTACGAACTGAAATAGATAATTTAAAGTTTTCTTGGGAAAATATGAATATATTTGTGTTCATTGCGAAATAGTAATTACACACATTCATGATGATTGTAATGTTGATTGCTGACATTTATGAAGTTTATATTAATACTCATTTTTAGTAGCGGGAATGCTCAATTTATTAGTTAGTATACACAATTTGAAGACTGATCAATTGTAATTATACACATCTGCATTTTTGAAGTTTATATTAATACTCATTATTATTAGCGTGAATGCTCATTTTATTAGTTAGTATACACAATTTGAAGACTTGTCTATTGAATTTAAGAACATTAAGTATGAAAATACGTTATACAAATTTTCTTATAAAAAAAAGATTGGGGGAAGTGTTTTTCAAAGAAATAGTAAGTTATTTATAATGGCACAACTGAAGTGAGTAAGAACTAAAACATTGAATTTTATGTGAAAGTGTTTTACAAAAAAATAAAAAAATTATATTTAATTCGAAATAGTAAACACATAGTTTAGTGAGTCTTGCATTCAAAATGCATTAACTAAAAAACTATATTTATTTCAATACTCATTTTGTTAACACGTGGTACTCATTATAGCACAAAGAATTACTCAAAAGAAGATTTATCAGATGAATGTATGATTCAATAAAAGTAAAAACTACAACAAAAACATAGAGGAAAAACATGTAAAGTCTAAAAGTGCAAATAACTGAAACTAAAATGATGATAAAAGATAAAAGATGTTCTTTTTTGAAATAATATAATAAGTATATGTAAACAAAAAGCAAAGCTTTTAAGAATGTTTACAAATTTCAAGGTTCACAATATTTGAAGTACTAGCTGCAGTTGACTTTTTCCTTCCTCGGACTTTAAGGTTCATATTTCAGAGAACGTTGATAATATTCCAAAGTGTAATTTTACATGATCAACATACATCTACGGTCTGAGCATCAACACAAAAATGTTGAGTAATAAAAAAACCGACACCAGTCACTAGTAAACGAGTGAACATAACAGTATGACTACATAGCTATTCGAAAATCAAACTACAAATTTGCTTGATCAGTTGCAGATGTACTAGCTTGACGTGACTTCTTCTTTGCTCTAGCTTGATTTGTTTTGATTTCAATAAGACTCTTGCGACGGACATTTCTTTCACCCTTCTTCCTTGAAGACTTTGGATTTAGATATTGTTGAACCCAAACCAACTGTAGAAGATTCACTATCTGAAAAATAAATACTTCCAACTTGCTCTTCAACATCCGCTTTCAACTTTGAAAAAGATTCTTCACAAAAATGCCTTGCTGCAGAATTAGAATCACTAGAGCACAAAAGCTTGTGAAATTTCTTTTGCATTTGCATTCTCCAAACAGAAGGTAAAATACTAGAAGTCCCAGATGAAACATAAATTTGTTCAATTGGAACACACTTTGCACTACGCGTCCAACGTTTCAGAACATAACAATCCGGATAACTTCTACACAGTGAATATGATATATACGAAGAATATGACAACACAAAATATCAACTTCTGAGAATTTCTGACATGAACATTTAACAAAATGTGTTGTCATATCAAAAGAAACCCAATGTGTAAATATATCTATTTGAGGCATCCATACCAAATATGACATCAAAGAACCTTGTTGATGTCTAAGTTCATATTTCAGGGACATACCTCGTAGAAATTCTTTCTCAAACAGTTTATACGCATCAATCGTGTAGACCTTGGAGGCTTTATGTAACAGACCAACAAAAGGAATGGCAATTTCTGGAAAACCATCCCAACAACGTTGCTGATCTTTACCCTCATTACTTCTCCATTGACTCACACTTTCACTGAAAAAATGGTAGAAGTCACAAAGAGACGAGTTTGCATTCAGTTTTCTAGATATTGAGTTATTCGTGGACTCGCTTCGTTGGGAAGACAAAATTCCAGCAGAAAAGAACTGCTTTGAAAAAGCTGGACACCATTTCTCCTTCATCTCGTACAGTTTGGTTAACCAAGGATTATCAGAACATTTGTATTCACAAACCATCCTGCAAAATATGAAGCAGAATACTCATTTCCAAAACAATATTACTCATTACAGATAAGCAGTGTGCTCAACAAGAAGGTATACTGTAAATGCAGAAAACATAAAAGGAAGTATACGAACAATGAAAAATACCTATTCCAATAATGATCAAACTCTGCAATAGTCTGACAGAGTTTCAAAACATGATCAAATAAAGCCAAAAGCCTTCGTCATTCCTCAAATCTCGTATATGTTTTTTAGAATTTTCAATGATATGCCGCCATATACACAGACGATGCCTTGAAGAAGGAAAGACTTTAGCTATTGCAGCAGGCATACCGGATGACTGATCTGTCATTACAGTTTTCGGATGCACAAAATCTATTGAATTCAGAAAAGTAGTGAAAAGCCATTCAAAAGATTCAATTATTTCATTGAGAAGAAATCCACAACCAAACATGCATGTATGGGTATGATGGTTAATACCTACAAACGGTCCCCATATCATATCGTATTTATTAGTACGATAGGTCGTATCATGAATAACTAGCTCACCAAAAGATAGGTAATCTTCCTTCATTTTTTTATCTCTCCAAAACAAAATTGACTAAAGAACCATCCACATCTATCTCGAAAGAGAAGAAGAAATCTTCTTCATTTGACTGCCTATTCTTAAAGATGTTAATCAGGGTATTGGCATCAGAACCATCAAAAGATTTCTTGACCTGTTTTGTCAATTCGTTATATGCATCACGCAAGAGAAAACCAACCGAAGGAGATCCACCTGCTTCCGCTTGCAAACATCGAAATCCATCAGCTATCTTGACTCCTTGATTTTTCAAATGATGCAAGTAATCTAACTCACTAGAAGAAATAAAACGATGGGATCTAACGTGATGAACTAATGAGTTTGGACAAAACTGATGATTATGGTCCATAAGGTGCCTAACAACAACCCACTCACCGCTAGATTT